GGCTTAATGAAGGTTACAGATTGACACTTGAAGGAACGAAAGGACCAGGCAGAATAGAATTAAAATGGCTAAGTCAGTTATAACTCTTTCTTACCGTGAAAGATTTTTTTTATACCTGGACTGAAATACTAATAATTAATATCTCAGAATGGATACAGATTTCAGTGGATTTTTTAAGAAGATGATGAAAAAAATTAAACTTTTATTTGACATAGACATTATAGAGTTTGAAGGTATGGAAGACAACAAAATTAAGGTTACCAAAATGTGAATTCAAAAGACAAATCAAGAAAAGGTTCTAAATATGGAACAGTTGTGGGGGAAAATCTTGGATGATGCCGCTTTATTTATTTTTCAAAGTAAGTTCATGAAAGCTGTGAAAATCCCACTTGAATACTGAAGATTGATGAAAGTTCAAATCTTGTAATGCCAGTGGAATGATTTAAACATTAAGATTTGTAAAGAACAAAATGAAGAAATATAAAGTTGGACTATTTAATCAGAGCTAAATTATTTGTTTTATATTTCTGGTAATTCCTAGTGGATTTTTTTTGCTGAATCAGGACTAAAAAGATAATTTTTGGATTTCATATAGGTAAAAATGAGGCTAGGACGAGAAGTATTCTTTTTTATTTGTAACCTTAAAAGCGAGCAAAAAGTTGATAGCTTACGCTCAGTGTAATGAACGTTGAAAGCCATATTTTTATTATTGGGTGGGGGGGGGTTTTGCTTTTTTCTTTCCTACTTTTTTTCTTTTACTTTTTTCTGCACCTTCTAAATTTTTATTTTTCTTTCTTGTTAGTTTATATTAATTTTTACAATGCTATTAATTTTTTTAATAAAATGGGTATGGTGGCTCTGTGGTTAGAGCTAAGACTTGACGATCAGCAGACCTGAATTTAAGACCAGGGCACTAAGTAGTGGGAGTGAGTTCTGGCCACCTACTCCAGCAATTGCCCACCTAGTAGTTTGAAAGCATGAAAAATGCAAATAGATAAATAGTTACCATTTTGGTGGCAACCTGGGTGGAGATGGAAGAGGGGAGCCCCCATTGGGCACCCCTCAGGCAATGGTGATTCACTGGCTAATTCGTCTCAACTTGGTGGCTACTTCTGGGTCTGATTAGCGCCGAACATCTACTGCTTTTGATGCAGAAGACTCCCAACTTTCTTGCACTGCCATATGCTAAATAAATAAAACTTCAGTAAAATTAGACATTAACTGTTCATTTTGGCACTTTTATTATTTAAAGTTCATTTGCTAATGCTTTCAGATTAATGATGTGTGGAAGAGAGCATCAGAGTTATATTTTTATAACACAAGAAATCCAGATTTCCAGGATTGGTTCACACACCTCTGAGTTTGAATCCTCGGAAGAGGAAACTATGGAATTGCATCTATATTTTACAGTTCATACAGCAAGACATATAAATAACTTGATGTTTCGGGTGTCATGAGATTCTTTGTTATTAGTTAAGTTACAAAAAGGAAATGAAGGAGCTGCATATCATGCCTTGAATTCATCCTAAGAAGCTAAATTTTACTATGCTGTTAGTGGTAGGTGTTTTAAGTGACTTGTAAACCCCGAATTGTAATTTTGTGGATGCTTCTTAAATTAAGAAAAACAATTACCACCAATTCTCTCTCTATCACTTTTTCCTTAGGTGGCGTTAAACAGTATGTTTGGATATGCTACAGAACTAAGGTCGTGTACAGAGGTAAGCGAGCAGATACTTTCTGAATTTGTTAAAGCTATGTTATAGTTTTCCAGCATTTATCATTATCTCATTCAGGTCATTTTTACTATAGGACATGTCATTTTTTTCAGTGTTGGTATAGATGCAGCTTCTGAAAATGAATAATTAATTTTGTTTAAAGTAACAAAGTGGAAAAAGAACCTGAAGGGAGCGGAGGAAAGGAGAAGCGGGAGGGAAAGGGAAAGGAGAAGGGAAGGAAGGAAGGAAAGAAAGGAAAGGAAAGGAAAAGAAAGGAAAGGAAAGGAAAGGAAGGAAAGGAAAGGAAAGGAAAGGAAAGGAAAGGAAAGGAAAGGAAAGAGACTGAATAATTTATAGAAGAGATGAGACTTTACCCTAAATTCTGCCCCTCTGAGATTTTCATCTGGTCTGTTAAACAAACCCATTTGACTAATAGTGCTGCAGATATTAGTGTTTGACTAATAGTATTGCCACTGTTAGCCACTCCAAACATATTTTTTCTTTGCCTCTTGCTTCCCCTTCAAGGAAAAAAATGGATTTGTGCAAAACTAGCATAAACAGATTTTGTATTCATGCAGAAGCTCTTTGCCTACACCTATTTTTTCCTTTTGTGTTGACTCCTGGTGAAGAAGAGAGTGTGCTAGTTGGACAGCTCTAGTTGGTTCATTTAAAACACAGCTATCTGTGCCAGATGATCCACCAGGGCAGACAAATGTTTGTAAGCCACCCAAGGTGGCCTCTAGACAAGATGGGCAGCACATCAATAAATAAATATATAAATAATTAGACTCTGCCTTTGGTTTAAATCTTTTTTTATCGCCCTTAGTTAAAAGAAATGAGAGGAGAAAGTGAAGTAAAAGGAATGCAGAAACAAAGATGGGAATAGAGAAAGGTTGGAAGCTGATTTGAAAATCTAGCTTTTTACCTCTAGGAGTGTATGTATTTCAAAGAATTGCAGTGCCTTTTCAAATTGTACACTCGGTTGCTAGTCCAGTTATCAGCTACTTACTGTGTCAAGCTATGCTTGTAAATTTCTCTTCCACCATGCAATGCATGTAAACTAGCACTTTACCATTTGTCAATTGATAAATTGTTTAAATTATTCATAATATGAGAATATTTTCTCTTCAGGGAAAAGGAGAATACACAATGGAATACACTAAATACCAAGCCTGTTCATTCAATGCACAGGAAGAATTAATTAACCAATACCTTGAAGCAACAGGACAACTTCTTGGGAAAAAGGGCAAGGTCAAAGGTTAAAGCACCTTCAGATCAGTCCTATACAAGAAACTGCCCACAAGCAATTTGTTACAAGACTTACAATTGAACAAATGAAGAAAATTCAGAGCAATTTCATCCTGAATCAAAGTTTTGACTTTATTAAAAGTCATGAAAAGACTCTTGTTTGTACAGAAATTCCATGAATGAATCACCATCTTAATTTATATTAAAATGTTTTGTTTTAGGGGCTTGATATTAAATTAAGCTGAAAATGTTCTTTTCATTTTTCTGTCTCTTTCGACCTCACCATAATGCTCTCTGCATACCTCTTTCCAATTTTTTGAAGCCTTCCCTTAATTAATCAGAGGATCAAATGCAGGAGAATTATCAGATCTCTCCCTGATTTTTTTGATAATTGCTACCGAGTCTGAACTAGAAGACTAAATAACCGTTCCCTGAACTTGAGTACACAAGGCAGACCTGTAATGTAACATGAACATTTGAAGGATATGTAATAAGTTTAATTTTCTAATAATACGTGAAAATAGATTGTGGGACAGTGTGATTTTTTCCACTTTCCATTCTTCTAGACATCATGCAGCAAATAATATATTTTAATGTTATTGACTATTTTTCCATACCTTGGAATTCACCTGCAATAAGAATCCCACTTATTTTGATGCCTGAGCAAAATTTGAGAAATGATTCTAGGGCCAGACACATCAGTTACTGACTGAAAGGAGCTCAAGGCAGCATAAGGGTGTGTTGTTTCAGTTGCCATATATTGGATATTGCTAAAATGTCAGTTGCCTATGAAGAAACATATGTCTGATTTCTCAGAGGAACACCAACCCAAAAATTCAGCCTACTTGTACAAAGGGAATTTTGTCCCTCCTCAGTCCCTCCCATACAAAGAGAGACATGCAATTTCTACATCTACTTACCTATTCAATTATTAGGAATGGTGGACTGTACAGGCCTGCAGGGCCATCTGAATAAAACTAAATGCTCAAAATGACCTTTTATTTGTCTCCTTTAAAAATCCTAAGAGCAAGAAGCTTTCTCATAAGTATCCTAATGTGATATGCAAGGAGAATGAATAATTTTGGCTTCATATGAAGTAACTTGTATCCCGGGGGCCATAAGGAAATGTCTGTATCATTTCCTGGTAATAGTAGAGCAGTGATTTGCCAGCACTACCTTCTAGGATCTGATTTCTGTTTGACCATGATACCTCCACAGAGTGGTGGTTGTAGGCGAAGGTGTGGAAATGTTTGCCACTTTGAGTTATTTGTGAAAAAAATAAAGGCAGGATATAAATAAATAAATAAATGCACATCATTTATGAGTCTGCAGATAGCCCTGATTGATGGAAACGCCATCTCACATATGCTACAAGAATCAGGTACAGTTCTGGGCATTTGTTTTTGCCACCGTAGCAATCAATTTTGAACTGACCATCCTTCCTTATTGAATTATTTTTTTCCTTTTGAATTTTCCCTATTCTCTCAGCTGTTGAAAGTAAAGGAAAACTTTTTTTTTCAAAATAGGATTGTCTAGGATATGAACTTGGACACCTTTGGTTTAGATCTAGGCTCTTTCTATTTCTTTTGGGTAATCCTGTGAGCTGTGAGTGTCTGGATTAAGGAAATGATCAAAATTTCTTTATACCGTTTGTCTGTCTGGAAGAAAGCAATAGTACATCCTTTCTTAAGAAGCCTTCTCTGAATCCAACTGTTTTTGACCATTTTCCCAATCTATTTCTGGGGAATATTGTTGAAAAAATTCTAGGAGTGGTACGGTGGCCTAGAGATGAAGCTCTAGGTAAATTTTAGTTCACTTAGCTGAAGAATGTATAGTAAATTTTAGTTTAACCTTCCTAAAATTGCATACTTAGAAGGCTGCTGGCAGAGGTTTGCTTTGGACTCGTATATCCTAGAAAAACTTGAAGTAATCAAGCTTCATTTTCTACCCTGTTTAAACATCCTTATATAAAACATGGAAAGGAAATTTTGAAATATTGAAACTCAGGTGGTACAACATGAAGTGACACAGACAAAATATATTCTTGTCCTTTTATTGAAGATAAGTTAAATCTCAGAATCAAATATTTTCCAAAATTTAAAAATATTTTATCAAATATTTATTTAAAATGGAGGTTTCATATATATTTAAAAATTGCCTTACTAATGAGTTACTTCTAATGCCAGAAACCTAGTGATGTATCAGCAGTTTTTCTATATACCATAATAGAAATATCTGTAAAAATGAATATTTCTATGAAATTAATCAGCAAAGAGATATTTATGATAGATCAGAAGTGACAAGTGCAAAACTTCCAGACAGATTGCATTGATTTAGATAGAAGAGTCTCAATACTGAATTTGGAATATTAACAAAAAATGTACTACACCTTTGCAAAAATGTTTACAACTGCATCAAATGGAAGGATTTTCCTCCCTACTTAAAAATTAGATTCCAAGAAATACTCAAAGGAACCCGACTCTTCCCCAGAGCCATCTGCGGATTCTGCAGAAATGTCATCTATAAAACACTCATATTTCACTTTTATTGGCAGCTCCAGGTTCCAGGTAATACGCATATGACAGGAAAGGTCCTGTAAAAATAATCAATGACAGGAGTAAGTCTACTTGGAGGAAATCCATTGATTCCAGTAATATTTCAGAATGTGTATGTATTGGCTGCAATCCTAAACTTAATTCCTTGGGTATGAACCTTACTGCATTTAGCAGGATTTACTTTGGAATAAGCATGTAGAATTGTCTAATAAATTATTTTTATACATTTCTTCCCTGATTGTAATGTGCTTACAAAATAGATTGGAATTATTATTATATAGTCACTGGACTTAGTTCACCTAAAGAAACAATACTGCTAAAATAAAATAAAAGGCTCATTATTTTATAAAAACAAAACCGTTGAGTACTGAAGCTTCCATACCTTTGAATCATCACTACCAATCAAAACTATGTAGTCAAATTCAAGTGCGTTGCCAAGTACCTGGGCAGGAAGGGAAAAAAAAAGTTGGAATAAAGAGGCTGGACAAGATAATTATATTTTAAAGAACATCTTTTTAGCATTCAGGCACTATGTGCGTGCTGAGATCCATGTTGTATTGAGTGTACAGAATGGCTTATGCTCTTTGGATGTTTCCTGACATTTTAGTAAAACCATCTTTTCTTTACAATGTCCCATAGCACTGAAGTTGTACAACAGAAGTTCTGGCAAAACATCCCGAGTGGGCTGTGAGTTTGGCAGTACTTGAACCCTGGATCATTTTGGCTTTTCCAGGTTTGGGCCAGAACAAAACCCAGAGTGTCTTAAGGAGAAGTAGGGTTGGTACAGGGGTGAAATCCACTTACCTTCCCTACCAGTTCGCAAATGTCATCCGTGCATGCACAAAGCCTTGTGTGCATGCGCAGAGGCTGAAAATTGTCGCAAAAAAGGGACATCATGACATCTGCGTGGGTGGGTGGGGCTTCACGCAGTCAACCCTACCGTATCGGTAATCTGGTAGGAACCGGCTGAATTTCACCCCTGGACTAGTACCTTCCCTCTTTTTCCACAGACTGTGAACATGCACCATCATTCTCTTCAGGTCTTTCTAGCTCTCTCTCTTTTAATGTTGTGCTTCAAGCTAAAAATGTTGGCAGCTAAGGAAGGCTGCCCTAGAAAGCTTGGGGGAGCAGGGGAACACGTGGTGAGTATGATATGCTATGCTTGAAGCCAAGGACATTAACAGTAGCCATCTAACTGGCCCATCACCAACTCATAAACCTTCCCACTGTCTTCTTTTCCTTACCTTACCCCTCCTCTTCACTGTCAATCTCCTTTGCTTTCTCAAAATATGTGTTTCATAGAACATAGAATCATAGGGCTGGAAGGGCAATTGGAGGTCTTCTAGTCCAACCCCCTGCTCAAGGCAGAAGACCTTACACCGTCCTGGTCAAGCGGTTGTCCAATCTATTCTTGAAAACCTTGGTGTTAAATCCAGGCCAGCGATTATGAAATTAAAATTATGAAGCCTTTGTACTTAATAGGCCAACAGTGTCTTAGAAAATGAATTTCTAATCTCTGCCTAGTTCTTAGTCATGCAAATTATTATTATACATTTTGCATGTAGGCATTTATTTTAAAAGGAGTTTTCCCTGAAACACATGGAATCACAAATTATTTTATTCATTTATTTTTATTTATTTATTTTATTTAACTAAATATACAGGTTCACCTTAAACATGCTAGGCTAAAATGTGACTGTTGTTCAGTGTTAACCACTGATTAACTTGGCCGGTGGTTCTTAAGTATTGCTTTTCTTGCCACTTACCCATTTCTTTGCATCTTTGATTTCCTTCATGACGTAACCCACATATTCACTTGATTGCTTCCATGCAATGTAACTGCTGCCAATGTTGGCGAAATATTTTAATTCATCTGGTGATGATTTGACTGGGGGGGGGGGCAGGGGGGAGGAAACAAAAGAGGGAGAGAAACTAATAAAGGAGGTAATATTTCTATGAATAAGCCTGCCTTATTAGAAGTCGAGCTAGATTTGAGGGGGTTGTTACCTCTTTTTTGCAAGCTCAAGGTTTTCTCATGCAGAGTCAAAAGATAATTTTTATCAGCAAACATTATGTTTTATTAAGAGGCAGACGTGCTACATCTGATTTGCAAACACCCACTCACTCTTCAATGAAGTTGGAGATAATCTTGTTAGCATTTATATCATCTCCAATAAGTGTCATCTTTGCAAAACTCCAATGGAAAAGTGTAATTTTTTTAAAAAATCAGAACTGTTCATTATTTGGGTACAAATCAAAGTACTATACACATGGATGTGGTTGCATCACTGTATGTGTGTTGTTTTTAAAAGGCTAGTAAAGGTAAAGGTTCCCCTTGCACATATGTGATAGTCGTTCCTGACTCTAGGGGGCGGTGCTCATCTCCGTTTCAAAGCCTAAGAGCCAGCACTGTCTGAAGACGACTCCATGATCATGTGGCCGACATGATTAAATGCCAAAGGTGCACGAAACACTGTTACCTTCCCACCAAAGGTGGTCCCTATTTTTCTACTTGCATTTTTTTTTAACGTGCTTTTGAACTGCTAGGTTGGCAGAAGCTGGGACAAGTAACAGGAGCTCACCCCATTATGCAGCACTAGGGATTTGAACTGCTGAACTGCCGACCTTTCGATCGACAAGGTCAGCGTCTTAGCCACTGAGCCACTCTTCTAGGCTAGACTAGACTGCTAATCAAATTAATAATCCAGTACAGGAAGTCCTCAACTTAAAACCAGTCACTTAGCGACTGCTCAATCTTACAACAGACCTTCCCCAAATCTATTTACAACCCAATCCCAAAGTTATGTTTCTTGCAGAATCCTGTGGCTGTTCACCCTTACAACTGACTGGATAGATGCAGCACCCCCCCACCCCCCACAATATTCCATGACACCATCCTGGCCTGCCAGGTCCCCAAAGGCATTGGGCCTGTTTCGATACCCCGTTGGTGCTGTTCCCCATCCTCCATCACTGATCACTCACCTTTTTGAAGATCTCCAGAGCTGAGGGAAGGAGGACAGGCCATTCCATTGCTGGGCCAGGTGGCACAATCCCACATGTGGCCAGCTTTTTCTGAGAGAGGCTGGCAAGGCTAAGGCTAGCGTTAGTGAAGAAAACCAAGAGTTTCGCCAGCATTATTTTTCACTCATAAAAAGTTTATTGTTTGTGGGATTGTGCCACGTGGCCCAGGAACAGACTTGGCCTGTCCTCCTTCCCTAGCCCAATCTTCTCAGCTCTGGAGATCTTAGAAAAATAACTGAACAATTGGTGATAGAGGATGGGGAGGAGGTCCAAACAGTTGTAGGGACCCCAAGGGATGGGAAGTGGAGCATGGGTTATATCAAAGGGTAGGAAACCGCCTTGGGAGACCACAGGTAGGTGGGCTTATGCCAGTACTAGGCTCCTCAGGGTCTTCCCCACCCGAGACACCCCAGACTCTACTTAACACACGTGTGTTCATTTAACAAATACATTGGGGAGAACAGGGATTGCGGTCATTAGGGCCCTAAGTGAACTGAGGGCCAGTTCACTTAATGGCCCTCCTGACTTCTGACCATAATGGGCAGGTTCCATTACAGTCATAGCTCAAATGCTACTTGTGTTCAGCTTTTGGATATTTACATTTGCCAGATCAACGCTGAAAGTAAGGGAGCAATCATAGATCTAGAACCTGTTGCCTGGTTTTACACAACACAAGTAAGTTGAAGACATAACATGCTAAATTTGGTTAGTTTTAATGTTGCCTCAATTTGTTTTTCCAGCTTTGTGCATTCTGCAAAACCAGATTGTTGGGTAAATTCATTGCTCAATGTATTGTGCGAATCTAAAAATTGGTTAATTAGGGGACAGGCATGCAGTCCTGGCTGGTTATGAAAAAGATTCCGTGCCCAGGATGTACCTTTAAGTTTTGTATATAGGTTGTAGTCTTCCTTCTTGATTTGGTCTGCATCTCTGTTGTCTGTGCAACTGACAGTAATCATTGGCTTAGATGTTTTCTTCTGGTAGAGTACTTTTGCACTGCATTTTCCTAGGTTTTGCTTTAAAACAAAAGAAAATAACATATGTGGTTATTTTCTTTCAAACTTCCTTGCTATGTTGTCCTTACCTGGATCTAGCAGCAGACTGTGAAAAAGAAAAAAAAACTGTTTACGGAATGGACAATGCCACTTCTAAGGTGGAAAACCACTTGAGGGGCAATGGAAGCGAATGTTGCAGAGAGAAAAAAGAATCAGTATTTATATTATCATTGCTCTGACTCAGAAGTCCTTTCACTGCTATTTCCTAAAACACACTTGGGATAAATATTTCTCTGCTGTAGGTATAGAAGCTATTGCCATGGCTAACCAAGAGGTCTATTTGCACTTTATCTCTTCCGAAAAGATCCCAAAGATATGGGAAATTCAAGTATAATGTAATGAGAAAAATGTAGCTTCGTCAGAGATGGATAACATGGAAAGGAAGGTAAGTTTTCATAGAATTAAATCCTGCAACTTCTCCACTTGCAATCCCATATTTCAGGGAAGCAAATATTGCTATAACAGTACCCCCACAGCCATTTAATGGAGGCATCTAAAAAGGTATCTAAAAACATATATTTTTAAAAAGGTATCTAAAAATATATGAGCGAGGGGAACTTTTACCTTTACCTTAAAGGTTCCCCTTGCACATATGTGCTAGTTGTTCTGGACTCTAGGGGGCGGTGCTCATCTCCATTTCAAAGCCGAAGAGCTAGCGCTATCTGAAGACGTCTCTGTGGTCGTGTGGCCTGCATGACTAAATGCCAAAGGCACACGGAACGCTGTTACCTTCCCACCAAAGGTGCTCCCTATTTTTCTACTTGCATTTTTTATGTGCTTGCGAACTGCTAGGTTGGCAGAAGCTGGGACAAGTTATGGGAGCTCATCCTGTTACGCGTCACTAGGGATTCGAACCGCTGAACTGCTGACCTTTTGATCAACATCTAACTAGGTACCTAACTACGTGTAAATCACTGCTGGATGGTACTGCACACTCTTCTGACCAGTAGTGATACAGAATGTGGGTAGACATGTCTTCTGCCCCTTGGATTGGGAGTGGGGGGCAATGTGAAGTGATTCCATAGTCTTTATCTAGCCCACAACTCCCACTTTACTGGGTTTCTCAGAACCCAACAGACTGCTAATGATACCCAGCATCACATCTCTGTCCTTGGCATGACCAAATGATTTACTGGTGGTCCTACCTTAGTGTTTACAGGCTATGGGAATCTGGACAGAAAGGGACAGGTTCAGCTCAATCCTAGCAAGACTGTGGCTCTGGATTTTAAGATCCCATGCAGCCAAGGATTTGCCATCTCTTGTTCTGGATGAGGTTCCACTGCCTGAAACAGAACTGATCACACATTCTGAGTATCCTCCTGGACTGGCAGCTCCTGCTTAAGGAATAGCTGCCAACCATGGCCAGGAAGGTTCTTGCACAACTTCATCTTATGTATCCTTTCTTAGCCCCAGAGTTTCTGCTCAAAATCACCTCTCAAATGGACAACATCAATGCACTCCACATGGCGCTGCTGCAGTTGGTGCAGATGTTGTGATATAGACAGCTATGAAAATGCCTCTGCATGAACATCTTAAAGCTCTGCTCCATGAGCTACATCGCTTGCCAACGTGCTTCTAGTTACATATGTGCTTGTTGTCATGAACAGAGCCTTTCAGGGTTCAGAGTTAAGTTATTTGTGGGACCACCTCTCCCCCACTTGTGTCTTCTCACCCTATTAGATCCAACAGAAGATGCATTCTGCAGGTCCTGTCTTTGAAAAATGTTATCTTTGGAATTCTGTCACTTGGAAAGCCATTCCTCCCAAGATTAGATTTTTTCTCAACCTTGTCAGGTTTTCACATGGCCCTTAAGACATGGTTGTATTCCCAAGCATGGGATTGGAGTGGAGGTGAAAACTTGGGTTGTACTACACAGTTTATATTGATTTAGTTTCTCAGTTGCTGCCCATGTTGTTGTGCTTTATTTATTTATCAAGCTTGTATGTCACCCATCTCGCCAGAGGCAACTCCTAGGAGGTTTACAGACATTGGATAAAATGCAGAATAAAACAATAAATAAAGATCTTAAATTTAAAAAATTGAATGAAAATAAAACTAAGCAGGATGGAGAGCGAGGGTACAGAAAGGAGGTGGGGAGTTCTCTACTCCATTAGCTACCTCCAAAATGTCACATGCCCATTAGGGCCACAGGCCAGCTGGCAGAGCCAGGTTTTTCAGCTCATTTGGAAGGCCAAAAGGGCGGGAGCAGATCTGACCCAGGAGGCAAGATGGTGGCACAGTGGTTAGAGTACAGTACTGCAGGCTCCCTCTGCTGCCTGCAATTTGGTAGTTCAAATCTTACCAGGCTCAAGGTTGACTCAGCCTTCCATCCTTCCAAGGTCGGTAAAATGAGGACCCAAATTATTGGGGGCAATAGGCTGACTCTGTAAACGGCTTAGAGAGGCCTGTAAAGCACTCGTAAAGCAGTATATGAGTCTAAATGCTATTGCTATTGCTATTCCAGAAGGCAGGAGCCACATCAGAAAAGCCTGTTCTCTTGGATCCTGCCAACTGAAATGCTTCGGCTGATGGGGTCTACAACATATTCCTTCTACTTGTACTAGTGGGGTGGGCTAACCCCCTTGGGGTGAATCGATTTCTCAGATAGCCTGGACCCATGCCATGAAGGGATTTTTTTAATATCACGTTTTGCATTGTTTTTACATATTGTAAACTGCCCAGAGTTGCTATACAAGATGTGTGGCTATATAAATCGAATGAATGGATGGATGGATTTTGCTCAGCCATACAATAAGGAGCCCACTGTATCCAAGCACTCTACGGAATTTGTTAGATATGATGCTGAAGAAAGCAGGTATCATAGCTGGTTTCCGGTGCATTGATGCCAGAAAAAAAATTCTATTACAGAAATTGTTCTAGAGGAAGTAGAACAATCCACTTACCCCGGTTTGAATGTGTTTTGTATAAAACTGCAGGGAGTACTCATGTCCAACTCCTGGGATATTCTGCAAGACAAATAAGCTAAAGTTACACTTCACAATATGTATGGCACACCCCGCACAAACACCTTTTAAAGCGGCAGATCATTAAAATACAATATAGCATTTATGCACTAGTCCTGTTGGGTATATCTTTTCTATCGTTTCAGGAATGTTAGCAAAACTGTATGTGGTTTGGATATAATTAGTCTTTTCTGCTTTGTGTCTATCATTCTTAGAAAAAGATATTTCAGTATTCTGGAACAAGTCACTCATTAATTTTATAATGAAGCTCAAATGATGAATATTTAATGTAAGCACCTACTTCTATGTAATGAATAGCCATCCTGTATTTGTTCCCTATTAGTTTTTCCTTCTGAAAAAATCCTGGGACTTTGTATTCAAGGAAGTGATCCCATTTTTACAGACTCATGTAATATTTAGGGTTGCTTTAGAGAGGTGGGTTTCAACAGGTTCTGACCAGTTCTGGAGAACCAGTAGCGGAAATTTTGAGTTGTTCGGAGAACCAGTAAATACCACCTCTGACTGGCCCTGCCCCCATCTATTCTCTGCCTCCCAAGTCCTAGTTGATCGGGAGGAAATGGGGATTTTGCAGTAACCTTCCCCTGGAGTGGGGAGGGAATGAAGATTTTACAGTATCCTTCCCCTGCCACGCCCAACAAGCCATGCCCACCAAGCCATGCCACGCCCAACAAACCACACTCACAGAACCGGTAGTAAAAAAAATTTAAACCCACCACTGTTGCTTTAGCATTAGAGTACAGATAATCCTTGACTTACAACCACACTTGGACCTGATTTCTGGCCAGAAGTTATTATGGACATAAGCCATGCACCCATGTAACCAGATCTGATTTTATGTCATTTTTATAACAGTTGTTAAGTGAACGATTGCAGTCATACATGCAAACCCATTTGCATGAATGGACATTTTTTTACCAGAAGCCAGGAAAAAACATAGCAAATTGAAGTCACACGACTGTGAGATGCTGCAACCAGTTGTAAAAATGAGACAGTTGCCAAGTACCCAAATACAATAATGCATATTTGGGTACTTGGGGGGCTGTTTGTGTTGCATGACATTTTAGGATGGCCAGAACCATAAAGCACCCATTCCAGGCCTGTTGTAGTTTTGAGCAGTCATTTGTATTAACCAATCAGTTGTAAGTAGATTACTACCTGTATTGTCAAATGCAGCTAAGAGCTGTTTATTTTATTTATTTTTGAATTTATATACCGCCCTACTCCCGAAGGACTCAGGGCGGTGAACAGCCATAGAATAAAACATATAAATACAAAATTTAAAATAAAATAAAAGGAATTAAATAATTTGGCTGAACAAATTTAAAACCCCAATAATTTAAAAACAAATTTAAAATTTCCACTTAAAAAGGGGAAAGACTTAGGTCAGGCCAGCTTGATGAAATAAGAAAGTCTTGAGCGTGCGACGGAAGGTACGCAGATCCAGGGGAGCTCGTTCCAGATAGTAGGTGCCCCCACAGAGAAGGCTCTCCCCCTGGGGGCTGCCAGTCGACATTGTTTGGCCGACGGCACCCGGAGGAGCCCCTCTCTATGGGAGCGTACTGGTTGGTGGGAGGCTATTGGTGGTAGCAGGCGGTCCTGTAGATAACCAGGTCCTAAGCCATGGAGCGCTCTAACGGTGATAACCAAAACCTTGAAGCGTTAGTTTTTTTGAAGCTGTTAATTTTTTTGCAAGAGTTAGTAACAGGGATTAGCAGCTAACTCTGCCCACAGCCTGGAGTTCGATCCTGATGGGTTCAAGGTTGACTCAGCCTTCCATCCTTCCCAGGTCAGTAAAATGACCCAGATTATTGGGGGCAATATGCTGACATTGTAAACTGCCTAGAGAATGCTGTAAAGCACTATAGGGTGGTATATTTGTGCTATTGCTACTTTGGAAACATACATCTGGAAGAAAGTAGTCAAGTGACTGAACCTGGCTGCTTTGCTCAGTGCAGGAAGCCAGAGTGATGGCAGTCTAGCATTTTTGAGCATATCTGTCGAAGGGAAGTCTATGACTATCTCAATAGAATGGACTGGACTGGACTGGACTGGACTGGACTGGACTAGACTAGACTAGACTAGACTAGACTAGACTAGACTAGACTAGACTAGAATAACAGGGTTGGAAGGGACCTTGGAGGTCTTCTAGTCCAACCCCAAATCCCACTGTCAAATTTCTCTGTCAGAACGTTTTTGTTAAGATTGCATCAGACTCTGTTTTTCTGTAACTCAAAATCACTCCACAATTCTAGATGTGCTCTAAAATTGAAGGACTTAGCCATCTAAGGATCAGCCTTTCAGATATTTGAATATAATCCTCCCTCCTTTATGCTGAATTGCAACAAGTGTCTATCTCAGAGCAGGCTTCTTCAGTGGGAGCCCCAACTTTGGAATGTCATCTCCAGCAAAGTATTCCCAGTACTGTCCTTACTATGTTTTCTGGAGCCAGATGTGCTTATTCTCCTAGGCCTTTTAACAACATTAATCTGACTGTGATTTTAAAACATTTTATTGCGGATTTTATTTTCTGTTATTGTTCAATATGTTGATTTTATTTGGGATGGTGCATTTGATTTTTTTTGAACATTTTAATATATGCTATTGTTTTAAACCACAAATGTATTTTTTATTTAAACAGTTTATTTAAATCTTTCTGTGTATATAAACATTTCAAATAAACAGTCCTCCCTCAGTTATCTTTTCTCCAGGTTAAACCATTTCTTCAATTTCTGTTCAGGGGGTTTATATATTTGTCCCCTAATCATACTCTTTTCCTAATCTGATCCAAATTTCCCTGAATTCTTCCTAAAGTGCAGTACCAGAACTGGGCATGGTATTTCACATACCATGATGACCAAAGCAGAATTATTACTTTTCTTTATTAAACTTTAGTTGGTGTTTGAAATCAAAAATACTGAGGAGTGGACTCAGGATTGATCACTGCAGCAATTGATTGATTGAAATGAAAATGGTATTTGTCAAATATTCAGAACTGCCTTTTCATATAACTAATAACATTTTAGGCTTCTCACCCCTACTTTATGTGACAGTCCTGTTGTCTGCATTCTAAAACAGTAGACACAATTGCAAGAGTTGCTTTTGAAAATTAAAAATGTAAAGACATTCTCAAGTCAAGCTTGTGACCTGGTGACCACATCACGAAAGTTTTCTTTCATGTTTTTCAACTTGTCAATCTCTTCTAAACCCTGGAACTTCTATATGGTTTCCTATCTATGTATACTCACATATGTCTCTGCTTAACTCCAGAGAAAAGTGAAGGAAACTGTTAGTGGCAATACAGTGATTTCGGCTTATGCAATCAGATTTCCCCCAGTGGAAACAATTGAGGGAAACCCTGCCCAGATTAGAGAGAAGCAGCAGATTTAGTCTGTGCAGCAAAATCAGTCCAAGGCCTTGAGTCAACTTAATAGCAATAGCACTTACTTATATAGACTTATATACCACTGTAAAGCCTCACAGTGCTTTACAGCCTTCTCTAAGCGGTTTGCAGAGTCAGCATATTGCCCCCCAACAATTGGGTCCTCATTTTACCCACCTCGGAAGGATGGAAAGCTGAGTCAACGTTGAGCCTAGTGAGATTTGAACTGCCAAATTGCAGGCAGCTGGCAGGCAGCAGTCTAACCACTGCACCACTGCGGCACTTAAACATTAACACAGGGCTGTCCAACCTTTTGGCTTGCCTGGGTTGCACTGAATGAAGAGGACTTGTCTTGGGCAGCATATAAAATATATAATTAATGCATATAAATATTGCTAGAAATCTGCTAAAAGTTTACGGACTTGTGGTGGCTGCATTACTAGCTGCCCAGCGCCACAGGTTGGAAAGGCCTATGTTAACACTTTTATTATTATGGCATGAGGTTTTTGATGTTGGTTACATCACACTCATGTTGGAAGCACCGAGTTGCTTCCAGGGTGAAAGGATAAGCCACTGACATCATCGTTGCCTGGGGGACACCCAGTTGGGGGCTCCTTTCATGTACCTGGCAGAAGCTGGAGCGAAGGATAGGAGCTCACCCTGCCCCATGGCAGCACTTGGGTCTCGAACAAAGGCTCACTGCTTGTTAACCCAGTGTCCTAACCACATGAGCCACTAGGCTCCTTGTTTGAAGTCAGTAAATGCACCAAAATAAATCCCAGTAGTAATCAAAAACAACTTTTTTCAACACATGAAATGAGCCGAATAGTATTGTGAATAATATTTTGGACAAATCCTTTCCTGGACAGCCAAGAAATATAAAATAAAGTAAGGCTCAGCGAACAGACGTCCAAGTTTTTCTATGCCAAGCAAATATAAGATACAGAACTTTTGTAGTTCCCAACAATTTATGCAGAACATGCTTCAAAGAAGCAAGTATTTTGAATCCATAAAACTGTAGTGCATTTACTTTTTGTTTTAAATCAAGGAATGGCATTTTCCTCAGAAGAATAACTTCAGTGCACATTGGATTCAAAAGCACACATCTGATGAAAAAGAAATGTTAACAAATATTCTCTTTCAGTTTTGGCCAGCCAGTTGGTTTGTTTTGTAAAACATTTCAGAGATTGCTTACTTTTATCTTTTGTTCTTCTGTAAATGTAAAAAGTCAAAAGAAAATAGCTCACGGTCTTTGCTGCCTGCTTCAAAAATATTTCTACAGAGTATTTATATAATATTGTGTAGGTTATTGCAAATTAAGAAAAGATACACAGGCAGAGATTACAACCTGAAAGTGATTTTAAATGTAGCATTTCTTGATAAGGTTGGCACGCAGACTTTGATATTTTCATGAAGTTTGATATGAAGGATGAGGAGATATGACTAAAATTCACAATTATTTTTCTGGTTATGGTCATACTACATTAATTAAGTCTGCTTGGTTTCAGGTTGGTGTATTTTTGAATGCAAGCAGTAGCGGATTAAACCATGATTAAACAAACCATAGCTTAACACTATGTGTGAACCTATCTTTCTGCCCTCT